GCTCTTCCTCAACACTGAAGTCCTCAGACATTTTTCTTTCGTTGTTTCTTTCTTTGCACAGGTAAACAGCACATTTCTTCTGCTACGCTTGCATTATCGGCAGAGCAGACGCTGAATGCGCAGTTTCATCTGGTTTGGTCTGCCGGCTTCCGTAGCGTCGTGAACTCGCATGTGCGCGCTTTCAGGAAATCCTAGACGCTACTGTTTATGCTCTAAAAACATTCTAAATGACTTCGTTTCGAGTAAATTCTGGACGCTACCCACTCAGGACACTTGGAATACATTGAACGAGCAGTATGGAGGAATATTGACACGTTTTTTGTGGACTTTTATGGACCTTTCTGCCTCGGGCGCCATAGACCTCCATTATTTGAATGTCAGCAGACAGCAAGAAGCCTCCCAGATCTCCAGATGCATTTGAGATATCAAAAAAGTACTCCAGAGTGTTGTTCAGCATGGGGGTGAGTAGAAAATGAAGGCTAATCATGTTTTGGGTGTACTATTCCTTTAATTAGGTAAACGAGATGATGCCAATGGAATGAGTGTTTTTACTCTTAAAATAAGATAATTAGTTAATATGCACGTGAAATAAGACAATGCTAATGTTTTTTCTTATTTTAAATGCAAATTGTCTTGTTCCATTGGCAAAATGTCTCACTTACCTCCTTAATTCAAGACAAAATGCACCTTTTTTAAGAAAAAATTACTTTTTCTGCAGTGTAGGGAGGGGTGGGGGGGTGGGGTAGGTGATGGTAGACCAGCAGGGAAAGGGTTAAACTCCAACAAAAAGCAGATAACCATATGTTGCATGCATTCAGGTCTATGCTCTCATTTGCACGTATTTATTTACTTTTTAATATTTTTTACATTTCTGTCTCTTTTATCCACCTTACTTTTATCTTTTTAAATATTTATGTGTCTCTTGTGCTTCTTTTATTTTTTATCTGTGATTTGTGAACATGTGTGTGAAAGGTGCACTACTACTGCAGAAAATTACCCATACTGGGACAAATAAAAGCTACTGAACTGAACTGAACTGAAAAGGAAGACGACTGATTAAAGCTTCATAAACGGAAAACAAAGCGGCTTTATTTTCCTCTCATGGTTTTATCACAGAGACGGTTTGTGCTAAATGTGTGTTTTTCTGTCCCAGTTCTGCTTCCAGGCCGGCCTGCTGATCGCCGTGACGATGTCTGCTTTGGTGTCTCTGAGCCGCCTCTACACTGGCATGCATTCGGTTCTGGTGAGCCAGTAACAAACGTCACATTAAGCAGGGAAAGATCAACATCCTCATATTTACGCGATCTTAGATGTAAAAACTCTATAATTAGAAGCTTGTAACCAAATGAGGCGTTCTGGCTAAACGGTCGTTGTGCTTTCAGGATGTGATTTGCGGCGTTTTGATCACTGGATTCCTGATTCTGCTCACCTACCCTTACTGGGAGATGTTCGATAGGTTCCAGCTGACCAACCCTCTGTCCCCCATCGTCGCTCTGTCGCTGCTGCTCTTTCTAAGCTACACATATCCAGAGCTGGACCATTACAGCACCACACGGGGCGACACCACCACCATCCTGGGTGTGTGCGCCGGCTGCTCAGTGGGATACTGGACAAACGTACAACTGGGCCACACCTTCGAGCCCCAGGAGGCGCTACCGGTTCCCCTACCCCCACTGACGGCGCTGTCTCTGGCTAGAGGTGTCGGACGTAGCCTGGTTGGAGTTTTTGCCCTGGTGGGGACGCGGCAGATAGTGAAAAAGCTGAGTTTGGACTTGTTGTACTATTGGTACGGGTTTCCTAGAATGGATGAAAATGCCAGGAGGAGGAAGGAGATCGAAGTGCCGTCCAAGTTTGCCACGTACACGGCAGTTGGACTGGTTAACTCTATATTGGTCAACAGATTCTTTGTTTTAATTGGGCTCCTATGACCATCATCTCTGATCAATAAACCTCATATTTATCTCACTGTATGGATGTTTTCTTATGCTGGGACAGAACTGAATGTTTGACTCCTCAGTGGGAAGGATTCACAAATGATACGGCAGCCAGAGGTGGAAAAAGTACTAAAGTATCATACTCAAGTAAAAGTACCAAAACTTGGATGAAAAATTACTCAAGTACAAGTAATAAGTAGCTAATTTATGATGTATTTTAAGTAAAAGTTACTTAGTTACATTTTAAAAAAAACTGTTGAACGGGGCAGGGGATCTCTAGCCTCGGTGCCATTCCGAACTTAGTCCCGCCCACAACGTTTGAGGTCGGGAAGTTCGGTCCGGCATTGCTCAACAGTAGCGCGAGTATGCTCGCACAATATCTGGCGGGCCAATCAAATTGTCAGGGCGGGCTTTATACGATGATGGACAGATGATCAACAGTAACGTAATCAACCACGTCACCAAAGCGCGCTTGGGTGACAACAACAATGGCTGCCGCTGGAGAGTTGAGGTGAGTAGATTCTGCTATTAGGTCTGTTCTAGAAGATATCGACAGCAAATTAATTTTAAAAGAGGAACAGAGAAACGCCATCAAGGCTCATCTTCTTATTCTAGGCGTGCAACTGCACGCTTTGATTTTTGTTGACAACAACTATGCGTCGCTTCACATACGTCACGCACTCCGTTGCTCTTATTGGTTGTAGGTCTATCCAATTGAGTGCAGAGGCATTTTTTTTCCCCTGGTTCGTTCGAAACACGCCCCATAATCACAGCTCTATGGAGCAGCATCAGACTCATTCTGACTAGAATTGAGTCGGACTATGTCAGGCTAGGGGATCTCTCCCATGTAGTGAAAATAGGACAAGGAGTCAGAAATCCAAAACTATTTAGTTTTTAATTAAAGAAAAATCTATACAAATGTATACACGTGTAATAAAAAGATAACACATAACACATGACATTTAAGGCCGAGGATTTTCGTCGTTTTGGGCAGCATAATTGGATGTTTCAGCTAGCATTTCTAGTCAAACGTTCTCTGAACCGTCGTCGCTCTCCTGATCCACCTCCATCTCGTTCCCAATCTCCTACAGAAAGACTCGGCGCCTGGTAGCCTAGATCTACATCCTGATCACGTCAATCGCTGTAGTGCTTCCGGGCCTGATTTTTTTGTCTTCCTTTCGGTTTTCCAACGTTTTTTTTTAACTCAGTAACGGATGGGATTTATAATGTAACCAAATACAATCCTTCACTCAAAACGTAATCAAGTAAAATTTAAATTACCGATTTTAAAAACTACTTGAAAAATACAAAATACACAAAAAACCTACTCAATACAGTAACTTGAGTAAATGTATTTCGTTACTGTCCACCTCTGACAGCAGCTCACTGACGTGACATCTTCTTAGATGTGTTAGATTGTTTCATGGGACAAAGTTGAACATGCGATGTAAAGTAGTCAGACAACAGCTTGTATAACTTTCTTTGTTGTCCGCACAAAATAAGCTCTTAACACTCATCGGACTCATTTAGCCATTTTACTTCCCCAGTGTCATGTGATTTATTAGCATTGCAAGGTCTCTGTTGCAAAGCATGTGTCAAATTCTGTTTTCCGTTCTTACATTAGTCACTAGAAGTTCAACATAGACACTAATGACAAACCCCTTAAGCTTGGTTTATAATCACTACGTTTAGCAGGCTTAGAAAGTGCGCGCACCAAGGGTGACCTTATGAAGACTAATTTACTGGTTGAATGGTAGTGGATCAACGTATCTATTTAGAGTCGATCCCCTGTCAGCAGGTAAATGCAGTATAATGTTCTAACAATTAGGACCTGTTCATCGTCTCATGGGGTTCCTCCTCATGTAGATCCTGTCTAAGGTGTTTTCTATCAGTAGTGCCCATGAAGAGTATATTCAGAATATAAAGGACATCTTTATGCAGTCTCAGACTCTCTCCCTAGAAATATTTTATTCTCTGCCAATTAATGCAGCTCATTCTTTAATTGAATCCTCGTCTAAAGCTATCTTTGTGTTTTAACACCTAATTTGTCTAACAGATGTAGTGAACGCTTTTATTTTCATTATTTGACAATAATTATGGCAGAACTCAGCTGATTAAATCAGGAAATAAAACAACCTGATTGGCTGTAAGGAGGGCGGAGGCCGAGGACTCTGAGAAAACCTGCTGCTGACCAGGTGTGCAGAATGTTACTATGGTAACAGAAACAGGTTAAAGAGACACTCTGTGAAAGGAAAACTTAGTTTCCCAGATTTCAGGTTTAGAAAACTTTTCAGTAAACCTGCTTTGTGAAACAAGTGGATGCTTCTGCTGGTCGTATTAAAATGGTTCTGAATAAGCTGTTTGTTTTCTTTCCCCTTAAAAATGATAATAAAAAATAAATAAACATGGAATTAAAAGACAATTTCAGAAGGATTGTACTTGAAATGGCCAGGTTGTTGACTGATTTAAGAGTTGTTTTTTAAAAGGAAGTGTCGAGTCAGCAAGGAATAATCGATGGATCATTATTTCTACCTAAAACTAATACATTCGCAGTGATTTAATGAATTTAGCGTCAATCAGCGAAAAAATAAAAATAATTTTCTTCGCGTTCACAGATTCTGGGAGCGGCCATTTTTGCCCAAATATAGTAGCCCCTCCCTCCTGCCATCTTCCAGCAGTGACGTCACGGTGCGGTAAGCCTAGCGCCATTCTCCCCGCTTTCCAAGCTAAATCAATGGGAACTACTAGACACATCTGCAATCAACAACAATTATTGAAGATTTCCAGAGGACTTCACCATTGAAATTCACCAGAGCTATAGTGAAACTGACAATGCCCACGTGCATGGCAGCTGGATGCTGGAATACATCGGGTAAAAGTGAAAAAAAAGAGTTATTCCACCTTTCTGATTCCTGATCCTCCACGGACGGGTTGGTCGTTGGATCGCCAACTTGAAGAGGGAGGATTTGCCATCGAACTTCTGGCCAGAGAAAAAACCCGTAATATGTAGCCAACATTTGGAAGAAGAATGTTTTCAAGATGACTTGGATAATAGCGCGTTGTGACAAACACCGGATACAGCACTGGGACTTGATCAACAGCCGATACCGCACCGTGACAATGTCACTAACCAGTAGGTGGCAGTAGTGTTCTTTGACAAACATGGATGCCTCCAGTAAAGCACATTCACATGAAAATTACTCTGAATTAAAAACTCTGATCATTTATTGAACAGGATGGAATCATTTCACATTTAAAGAACTTTAAGAAGTTTGGATTGTGAATATGAGCGACTTTTCCTTTAAGAAGACAGATCAGTTATACAAGCCAAACAGCTCACATGGTATCATGGCGTCATATCTTCAGTGGTGTTCCATGAAAACGTGAAAGAATTTAAAAAATGTGAAAAGTGTGAATTCTTACATGAGCGACTCTGACTGACCTGAAGCAGAGGCTCAAATGAAAAGTGTTCATTAAACTATGATGCAGTTTCCTTTTACTGTGTGACCATAAAAAAAGGTTTCTCACATTCTGCCTCCTAATGATGAATTTAAATGTATGTAATGACAAAACAACTAAAGCAGGAAGAAAAAAAATTATGTACTTTTTGCAAAGAACAAATAAATCTATTTTTAGTGAAAACATCCAGTGGAAACAAGACATCAAGTTGGTGAAATCTGTTGGCAGGACATCTTTTGAAGCATCGCTGCATAATTTATGAGCAAAGACTCATTCAGTGACGGATCTGATCGTTTAGAATAGATGAGATTTAGAGAAAAGCAGTCGGCATAAAATGCTGCATATTAATCTGAAACATTATTCTTATATCATTCTAATCCTGGGTTACAGAGCTCCTTTAAGAACATGTTTTAAATTCAGAGGTGTGAAAATAAAGTACAAATACTCCGTTACCTGACTTAAGTAGAAATGTTGTCCATCTATGCTTTACTGGAATGATTTTTAGACAACTTTTTACTTTCTACTCCTTATGTTTTAAAAATAGACGTGTTAGTTTTGTTTCATTTAAGCTCATTTTCATTATGACCTGTTGGTATTAAAAAAACATCAAAATAATTATTTTTATCCAGATAATTTCTTTGTGGTTGGACTCAGTGCTGCCCCAACTTGTTTCTCACCACATACCAAAATAAATAGTTTTTCAAAATGATGCAAAGTTAAATGTGACTCTGTTACCATTAGGTATAAAACTAAGAAAATGAGTTCTAAGGAAGTTATCATCCAGAATTGCAGAAAAATGCTCCTTTAATAGGGTAGAGCAGGAAAGCTTCTGGCCTTAACAGATTTCCCTACATTACTTTTATTTTTATACTTTAAGTAAAACTAGAGTAAAAGTGTTGGAGGAAGCAGGTGGAACCAGAGAGAACTGGTGTTTCCAAACAGGCTCCATGATGGGATTTGAACCAAAAACCTTCTGGCTGCAAGGCATCAAGAGAAAAACTTAAAGTAAAAACATTAAAACATTTCTGGGTCTAATTACAGTTAAAGTCGTAGGGAAGAGGCTGTTCCAACCGTTGCATTTTTAAATTCTCTGGAGTGGTGCACAACTTTACAGGAGTGAATCAAGGGAATGTGATTGGTCAATTATCAAGGGCGCGGGATTGTTGTGGCGGAAGGTTCACAAGCATCTTGCTAACCAGTTAGCAACTTAGTGCTAGCAGGTTCTCAATGGGAAATTCCATTGGGACCAAGTAGCACTAAATTGGTGACTTAGAAACGAGGCTGTCAAGGAACGCTATGGACAGCGGAAACATGCAAGAGGAGGAGAGTTTAGTGTCGGAGGTCGTGGATGAGTCTCCTCCGTCATCCATTTTTTATTTAGAGGAGGAAAGCGGGGACGAAGATGTTGTGGAAGAGGACGCCAGGGCGGCAGAAGCTTGGTTTGGTGTAGAAGGCTTCCAGCCGTACATGTTTGAGCCCTTGCCTCGCAACGCTGCCAGTTCTGTTAGCTCTACGCCTGCCGAAGACACAGACGTCCATCCCCGTGAACACTGGGACGCAACTCAATGGGAAAGGATTCTGATTTCAACCGTTGCGTATATTAGCTGCGAAACATGAATCAAGATGCTATGACCGAAAACATTTGATTGACAGATGACCGTTGATATATGATTGGCTGAATTTAGGTGTTCAGGCTGACGTAGAACTAACTGGCCTGCAGAAGATAATGGAAAAAAACACTGATTTTAAGACACTACATTTTTTAAAATTTAAATTTTGGGACGTCTGATAAAGAGTAAATTTATATAAATGTTTAAGCCAGAATGATTTGACGCTTAAATATGATTTCCCTACGACTATAATGACTACGTATAACAGTCGTTCATTAGCATCAGATTATAATTTCACGTTAGCTTCTGCTAAGGATGTGAGCTCTAGAAAATGTTAAAAAATATCCACTGGACTTGGTTTCCGAGTTTGAAGACGTTTCTCTTCCTATCCAGGAAACTTTTCCAATTCAAAATGTCAGAAATAACATGGATTTCAGAGCTTTATATTGTTTGTATTGTTTATACAGATTTTAAGGCAGGATTTTTGTTTTAAATTGAAATTTTCTAACTTTTGGGACAATATGGTTTGATAAAGAGTACATTTATATACATGTTTAAGCCAGAATGATTTGACATTTAAATAAATACCTTTAAAGGTAACATTTTTACGTTTATAGAGCTGTTATTTAGATCATAAAGAGGAAACAATAAAAAGTGAGGAAGTTTATAGACTGGTCCGTTCGCGCTGCCAGTCCTGCTGACAGACCCGTCAAACTTCCGCTACACGGATCCCCTCAGCATGATGCCTCACCGCCTGCAGCGGTTTATCTCAGAGCTGCAAACCAAGCTGAATCAGGACGGACAGAAGAAGAACGCTCAGCCGAACATCAGGATGCTTTAAACTACAGATTTTATTCAGCAAAGCTCCATATTCCAGCCAGTGAAATCAGTTCATTCTGCCCAGATCAGATCTTATTGAAGGCCGCCACGTCTACAGACTGAACGTATTCCTGGAAGGCGGTGATGGCTTCCTCCAGCAGGTCCGTTCCCACCTTATCGTCCTCCACCACGCAGCCGATCTGCAGCTTCTTGATGCCGTAGCCCACTGGCACCAGCTTGGACCGCCCCCACAGCAGGCCCTCCATGGCCACGCTGCGCACGCACTCCTCCAGCTTGGCCATGTCCGTCTCATCATCCCAGGGCTTGACATCCAGCAGGATGGAGGACTTGGCCACGAGCGCCGGCTTCTTGGAGGCGTACGCGGCGAGGCGCTGCTCCCGGATTCTGGCCGCCTCGGCGCTCTCTTCCTCGTCGTCGGATCCAAAAAGGTCGATGTCATCTTCACTGGAGGCGGAGGGAGCGGGCGGGAGAACAAACTCACTCTTGGCGGACGGAAGAAGCGCCCTCTCTGTCTGGAAGGACTTGATGTGGCTGTACCAGCGCCGGAGGTGGACGAAGGCCTGCGGGGGAGGCGAGGGGATGGCATCGAACACAGCGGCGTCAGCCTGGGACGCAGTGAAACCCTCGATGTAGCTTCTGTCGGCCAGGAACTCATCGAGCGCTTTGAGGCCTGCCTGTGAGCTCATGTCTCCAAATACAGTTTTAGTGGTAGGCGGGCGGGATGGCAGAGCGGGCTGGGGGTGGCGGTGTGCCGGGAACTGGTGCTTGGCGGTTTCCTGCATGGGAACGTCATGTGTGAGGGGGGCTTCAGCCGTGCGGCCACTGAAAGAATCAAAGCAACACACGAGTCACTGACTTTATTCTCCGCACCTCGAGCACGCATGCACAAACCCACGCCGACTGCAACACAAACAACTTCTGCTCATTTTTAATTCGGTGGAAAACATCACAGCCCATCAACACAACGCAAGCACACTTCCTGCTAGAGGGGTAGGGAGGGGAAATCACAGGAAAGGCTCGATGTCCATCTCCAGCGCTGAGCAGGGCAGCGTGAGCTCGAAGCGGCCTATGACGTCAGGGTGAAGGACTCCCAGCCGTCCTACGCTCTTCCCTCGGAGATAGATCTCAGCACAGCGACCCGGAAAGAAGGTTGAATCTGGAAGAAAAGTTTAAGAAATTAGAACTAGAACTTTCAACTCAGTTCATGTCATCTCAGGTCGCTTTACAGACAATTCAACCAGATCATCCAGTCTGATTGGTTCAGTTTTCTATAACGGAAAACCAGCTGATTGCATCGACTCATTGAGTCTCATGCATGCAGCAACAGTAGGTCAACGGTAGGTCTTTACGCTACAGACGGTGACGGTAAACTCGCTCTACAGGTGGTTTGGTCCAGTAAAGCTAAGCAGATGAGCTCTGAGTCGGTTCAAAAGGATCATATTTCTCTCCAGGATGGAGTCGCAGTCAAACAGGAATGGACTAAATAAGGCTACCAACATAAGGAAAGGGATAGAGAAAGTTCAGTAAAGTTCAGGGCAGAATGAAGAAGAGACAAGAAAAGTGGTCCCTACGTCCTCCAGCAGCCTAAGCCGATAGTAGCATAAGTATAGAGATAGATTAGGATTAAATAAAATCATGTCTTTGTTCTCTGGTGTAGGAAATGAAATATAACTCGTTCGCATATAAAGATCTGAGAATTCCCTGATGTGGGAAATCAAACTGTACAAAAAGCTAAAATGTAATCCTGCTGGTGCCTCTTGTTTTTTAAGAAGCTGAATTCCGTCTGTTTTTAATGATAAACAGCAAAACGTGAAGAGAGAGTTATGATCAATGTTTTGGCCATTTATGCTAAAGTTTTGTAATTTCTACCACTTTAGTTTTCTTCTTTTGGTAGGCAGAATATATTTAAGTTGAATTAGATTTAAAGGTGTTATTTTTTATATTTGGAATCGTTTAGATTACGTTGTTAGACCCTCCCATTAATTGGAGTAATTAAGAACACGCCAGGTGCAGCTGGATTGTTTGGCAAATGTCTGGTGTGGTTTGGGGAGGTTTTGTAAAATAATTTTTCGACCATTTTTTTAGAGCTTCAAACATTAAATTAACATTATTTTTCTTTTCGACTAAGTTGCAAGCAATTTTCAGTAAATATTTTGTCTCCTTTTTTTTTTTTTTTCAACAATAAATAAGTCGGAAGTGCGTACAAAGTCAAAAACCACCTGCTACCACCAACGGCCTTAGCTGGACAATCTATGTTCTCGGCTGGTTTGGACTCCCCATTAGTTGACTGAGGAGGCGGGACTCCTTCCTGATCATATCTGGGTTTCAGTTGCTCTGAGAAAAGTCGCCTCATGCACCTTTCTGTCCTTTTTGCTCCGAATGGATCCGGAGGGAAAGCCTTTGTTCCCTCGGCTCCTTCCAGAAACTTCCCTCAGAAAATCGAATTATCTGCAACTAAACATTGAAAGTGCTTGAAGCTGAAATATTAACATGAACCCGTTTTCCAGTTTCTTTTGACGTCACATTCTGTTTTTATTTTTGTTGCTGCCTCGTGACCGAGATATACGGAAGCCCTGAAAGGAAAGAGAAAAATCTGGAAAAGAAAAGTTTGAAGTTTTTTTTTTTTTTTTTATAAATTTGTGCCCTAAAGGAAAGTAAATATAAAAAAAAAACCTAAGGCAAATTTTATAAATTTTTTTCTCCACCAACAAATGAAGAAAAAGAAAAAAACTTGATTAGATTTCTAAGTATTCTTTTTTCTCCACAAACACCAGAAAAAAAATCTTTATTTAAATTCATTCAAAGTCTTTTTTTTTTCCACCAACGCAATGAAGGAAAAAAAACAACAACAACAAAACAAACAACCTTGGTTGGATTTCTAAAAACACTTAAAAATCTAACCAAAGTTTTCTTTGCCTTTCTGGGCTTCCGTAGAGACGCCCAGGAGAAAAGGTGTTCTTAACCCCAGAGGGGACTATCCTGCTTAAATTAATAAAAAAAGAAGAAGAAATCCACATTACAACTTAAACTAGAGCAACCAAAGGAACAAAGAGCCGAAAGATTCTTCTTTCCTGCAGGATGAGTGTGAAAATGTTCTGCGGCCTCCATCATCATCATCTGCGTCTTGGAAAGAAAAAAAAGAAGGATTTGTTCCACATCAGAGAAAAAGGCAGCGTGGGTGAAACTGCTCCTTTGTTCTGCCGTTTAATCATCACCATTTGTTCGCCCACGCTCATCACCGACGCCGTTTCTTCATCTGCGCCTCCAAACGCATCCGACACCCAAACGCAGACGCCACTTCCTGTGTCCCAGAAGTAATCCGATTACTCTGTGAATCCTCAAACTCTCTTCATTGTCCGACCTGACCGCTCACTTTCCTCAAAGGCTGGCAGGCCCCCCCGAGGCTGCCGGAAGCAGTGGTTACTATAGCAACCTGTTCCAACATGGCGCACTCCCATCATGCATTGCTTCTTCCCACGCTGACCGGCTAATGGGTTCCAGGACCAGAGCTGGAGGGGATGACCCTGGCGGGGGGAACTCTCCCGCTCGCTGTAGTCCATTAGCTCCCCACGCGTCACCGGTTGGCGCCATGGCAACGGTATAAATAGCCCTGGGTGTATCCTAAACAACTGATCCGTCAGTGAAATCCTGGAAACGTTCCACCGGCGCTGCGACTTTCAGCAGAGCAGGAAGTGGATCGATTATCATTTCCTGGCTGTTGTTCTGTTTGGTTAGATCTTTATTCTGATCAGTCAGAAGCAGAACAGAAGGAATTTGGTTTTTAGAAGGAAAAACAGCTGAAAAATCTAAGATAGTTTATCTACAACAGTTTGATCTTCCTGGTTCTGCTCAGATGGACGGAGCGGGCTGCTAAAGGAAAAACACATCGGTATGGAGTGAAGTTTGCTCCATTATTGGTGTGAACAAAAATGAATAAATGCAATCCAGAAATTAAACTTTGAAAAACCCTGAAATCACAGATTTGGATTAAATCGACACTGCAAAAACGACCTAGAAATAAGTAAAAATGTCTTAAATTAAGTGTATTCACCCTTAATTTGAGTAGGTAAATGAGATAGTTTGACAATGGAATGAGTATTTTTACTCTTAAAATAAGATAATTAGATAATATGCACTTAAAATAAGACAATGCAATTGTGTTTTCTTATTTTAAGTGTAAATTGTCTTGTTCTATCGGCAAAATGTCTCTTTTACCTCCTTAATTCAAGAACAAATGCACTTATATTAAGAAAAAAATGACTTATCTAGATTTTGATTTTTTTGCAGTAAAGTTCAGCTCCCAAACTATTAAATTGGAAATAGAATAGTTCGTATTTGTATGGAGGTAAAGGCTTTGAGGAATATTTTTCAGGTGGAAACAGTATTTTAAATGTCAACATGTCTGATTTACAGGTGATTAAACAAAGGAGAAGTGAAAAATATTTAGCCTCGCAAAAAATTTGCACCAAAAAAACACTGTAAAACACCATGAAATGCTATTTGAATCTCAGAATGAACCCTCAGACTTTATAGATCCACATCTTGTCTATAACTAAAAGTGCAAACATGCTTTTTTCTCCTCATCAAAGGGAATCTGTTCAGACAAATATGCTGATTTACATCATTAGTGACCTTCTGCATGAGGAAAAGCCTTTGCTCTTAAGATTTATTTATTTATTTCATTAAAATTTACCAATAATATCAACAAACTAAATAGAAAATAAGAATAACAGAGCAGCTTATGTAACGCATGCTGGTTACATCACCTGAAATGGTCGCGTAATGACCTCTGACCCCTCCTTGGAAAGCTCTGAGCCTCTAGTTTCCAAAGATGGCGGCCATTAGGGGGCGGGGCTAAAGATGAATACCTGCTGTTGCATTACTCCCGCAGACTAATTTTTAAATCTTATTATTTGTTTACACAGCTATAAAACAAGAAGTATTTAGGGAAAAATTTATTTTGAAACATGTTTTAGAAATTTTAAAGCTCCATTTGAAAGGAATGTGGATGAAACACCATGTGACTGTGTTTTAGCCATTTCTTTAAAGCTACAGTGTGTAATAATTACAGGGATATACAGTCAGAAATGTAATATATTATACATAACTATGTTATTTATCATCATCTACGAGCTCAGCCTCTTAACCTTAATATTTGCGTTGCCTTAGAATTCGTTATTTATAATTACATAGGAGCGGGTCTCGCAGCCATGGAGGCAGACATCTTTGCGCTACGGCAGCGCAGAGCCAACAAACTAGCGATTGCGAGATCTCCCATTACGCTCGAAAGTAACTACGGCAAGTTGAGAGAGATGAACTGAGACGGTACTGAACAATAGATGGCAGTATTATGCCTGAGAATACTATCTGTAAAATGATCTATGTAAACAAACCTCATCACTTGAGAAGGGAGGTGATGCGGACGTCGTGGAAGACATTTTGTCCCGTAACGCTCGCCGTACTGTTGGGGGGGAGAAGCGGTGGGGGGGAGATGTTCATGTTGTTGCGGTCTGCAGTCTGGACGTTAGATGTCGCTGAAAATTACACACTGTAGCTTTAAATAGACATCAGCTGGTGTCATGGCGGGCCCTGTACCGGGCCTCCTCAATCCAGAGGTTAGCCCGCCCCCAGAATGCGGTCTGGAAAACGCAGTTTGAAAATGATGCAATTTGAAAACTAAACTTTGAAACGAAAAGGTTAAAGTAATAAACCTATAAAAAAAAAACATCAGAATAAGCAATCTGAGAAAATATTTTGCAGATTAAACATTTTCTCAGTTTTATTTCTTGATTGCAATTTTTTTATATTACATTTATTGTTGGAGCAACAATAAATGAACAAACTTCCCTTTATTTGCTGCGTTCGTGTTAAAGCAGCCAGTAAATCGCTGCTAAGGATTATAATTTATTGTGCTTGGATGGAAGGATCTGTTCAGCCTTTTATTGAGCTTTACAGGAGCAGTTCAGGCATCTCAATTTTAATTTTAGATTCCAGTTTAAGTTTATTTATTTAGTTCGTCTGAAACAGGTAATCTGGAGCTTTTTCTGACCAACTTTTTTTATTTTTAATTAACCCGTGCGCATCCTTTTAACATGACACCAAGGACGGCGGCTCATGGAGTCCCAGGATGAGCGGCCGCTCCGGTCTGTGCTTCGG